GTGTTCCTGTCCAGTGGTGAGAGTGGGGTGTTGAAGTTTCCCACTATAAGTGTGTGTGGTTTTATGTGTGATTTGAGTTTTAGTAATGTTTCTTTTACAAACGTGGATGCCTTTGTATTTGGGGCATAAATGTTCAGAAGTGAGACTTCATCCTGATGGATTTCTCCTGTGATGAGTAGGAAGTAACCTTCTTCATCTCTTTTGATTGATTTAATTTAAAGTCCAATATGTTGGATATTAGGATCCCCTGCTTGTTTCTTGGGTTCATTTGTTGGAAAATCTTTCCCCAACCTTTAATTCTTAGGTACCGTCTGTCTTTGAAGTTGAGGTGAGTTTCTTGTATGCAGCAGAAGGAAGGATTCTGTCTTCTTATCCATTCTGCTAATCTTCATCTTTTTATAGGGGAGTTAAGACCATTAATGTTGATGGGTATTAATGACCATTGATTGTTCATTCGTGTTTGTTTTTGATTTGGTGATGGTGGCGAGATTATGTGTGGGATTCTATTCCTTTTTCCCTTTGGCTGTTGGTAAGGTGGGATTATTTTTTTCTGGTTGTAGTTAACTTCCTTGGGTTGCAGTTTTCCTTCCAGAACTTTCTGTAGGGCTGGTTTGCTGCTCTTAATATTTTCTCTTTGTTCTGTATGTTTGGTGTTTTGATTATTATGTGGCGAAGAGACTTTTTTTTTGTTCAGTCTATTTGGTGTTCTGTAGGCTTCTTGTATTTTCATTGGCATGTCTTTCTTTAGGTTGGGAAAGTTTTCCTCTATGATTTTGTTGAATATGTTTTCTGTGCCTTTGAGTTGGATTTCTTCACCTTCTATATCTATTATTCTTAGGTTTGGTCTTTTCATGGCATCCCATATTTCCTGGATATTTTGTGTTAGGGATTTGTTGGACTTAAAATTTTCTTTGGTTGATGAATCTATTTCCGCTAATGTGTCTTCAACTCCTGAGATTCTCTCTTCCATCTCTTGTATTCTGTTGGTTATGCTTACATCTGTAGTTCCTGATCATTTACCCAGCTTTTCTATTTCCAGCATTTCCTCAGATTGTGCTTTCTTTATTGTCTCTATTTCAGTTTTTACGTCTTGAACTGTTTCCTTTAGAGATTTGTTGATATCTTTTATTTTTTAGTTTGTTTTTTCTTCCATTTCTTTAAGGGATTTTTCTCATGTAATCTTTGAGGTCCTCTATCATTTTCCTGAAGATGTTTTTAAGGCCATTCTCTTCTGGTTCATCTGCATTGTGATGTTCAGGTCTTGCTGGTGAATGGTTCCTAGTGGTATCCTATTGAATTTTCTGTTGTTGAATTGCTTTTGCCTTTTCCTCTTCTCATCCTTTCTTCTGGTAGATATAGCAGGAGTTTCTTGTTCTCCTGGTGGGTATGGGACCAAGGTTCTTTTCTGGTAGATGCAAACAGATCAAATATTCTGATGTCTGTCCTCTTCTGGTGGATGGAGGTGTCACTGTTACCAGGGCCTCGGCAGTGTTTGGGTGTGTTGGGTCCTGCTAGGCTGGTGGATGGAGACAGAACTGCCACCCAGCCTCGGTGTGTCGGATCCCACTGCTGAATTCGGAGCTGGCGAGCAGATGGCTGGTGTCAGATGACTCTATGATTTGGATCTAGGGAGATGACTCAGCTATTAAGAGAACTGCTTGCTCTTTCCAGAGGATCCTAGTTCAATCCCCATAACCCACAAGACAGTGCAAAACCATCTGTTACCGAGTCTGCATTTTCAACCACAGAAAGTAGAGGATTCTCATGGAGTATATCAAGGATAACATGACCTCTAGTTCCCAAACGCCAGGATCAAAGAGGGGAGCTTTCTAAAAATACATATCTCTTGTCCCCAACCAAGAGAAGGTCATTAAAAAATGGGGGAAGGGGCTTAGGGTATCTAAACAGCTTCATACAAGATTTGAGCATGAAACTAGATTTGCAAACTAATGACCTAATATACTAATTCCCATTCTCCCTCTCTAAAAATACAGATATCTTGGGCATTTACAAAGTGTTTGTTTTTTATGTATTTCATCTCTACAAATGGCATTATTCTGGTTTTATAGGTAAAGCTGAAGATCAAGAGGAAAATCATACAACTATCTAGGAAGGAAAGCTATGATGCTGTACCCTCATTCTGGATCTCAACTTTGTCCTACAACACCACTGATGGATCTTGCTGGGACAGGATTCTACACTGAGTCTGTTTCCCTGGATCCCAGGCCAGGTCCTTACACTATGATCAGAGCAACTCCTTGCTTAGATCTCCCACAGCTCTGCAGCAGACTGGTGATAACACCCAACTCCAAGAATAGAATGAATCCCCCTCTATCACCTAGAAGCTTCTGTAGTTTTAACCACACCAGCTCTCCTCCACCTCATCTCACCTCCGTGATGCTGGACTACCTGAAGTCTTACAGCTAAGGGTGATGGCCTCTGAGCCAAGAGTGCTGATTGCCTCTTTTGAGGATGTCCTCCCATCCATACTGCTGCCTACATCCAACCCTCAGCTAACTGTTGACTTCAGCAAGGCCCTCCTGGTTGCCACAGATTGGCAATCTCACTCTGTTCTGATTCAATCCTTCCAGTCATCCTAGGATTCTGACTGTCATCACACCTGCCTATGGGGTCAAAAAATCATGTCTATTCATCTGATTGTTTGCACAGCAAGCTTGGAACAGTCACCATGTCTTGACCGCTATGTATTCCCAAAATACACACCCAAATGGTCATGATATTGGCTTACAAATGAATGGATTACATCCATGACAAATGAATACATTTTTAAAACACTGAAAACAAGTGTACCAAATAGCTTAATGGGTTTTGAATAAAATACCACCTTCAAACTACTTTTCATTAGATTTATTTTTTTTTTAATTTATTATTAGTGATGGTGGTGGGGTGTGCTGAAGACAGCTTGTGAAGGTCAAGGGACAAGTTGTTCTTTCCATGAGTTCCAGGGATCAAACTCAGGTCACCAGGATTGCATGGCTAACATGTTTTTATCTACTGAGCTACCTTGCTGGTCCCATATTCAGTATTTTTTAAATAATAATATGGTTCAACTGAGTAATGACTTCTCCAGGCATAGCAATAGTGTGAGGTATTCCATTAAGTTAGAAAATTTATCTATTAGGCTAGAATTCTCTGTGAGGGGCTGAATTTGTCTCACAAATTAAGAATTCACTTAGATGTACAATTTGTCCAACTTGGATTTTCCACAGATCATGTTTGAACAAAACCTTGTCTATCTTACCTCATCCATTGTAGGTCTTAACTTGGCCCGAGTTGCTGCACACTGGCTCGCCAGCGAGAAGAGCTTGGCAGAGAAGTTTCTAGGACAGGAGTGTATTTTCCTGTCTAGAAATGACAGACATGAATCGAGGTCTCTCTTCTCCATCAGTTCCACGAGGAGATCCCGCTAGGATGAGGAGAAGATACACTTATTTCTTGGAACACCATCAGACAGTTAATTGGCAAACAGGTGCCGGTGTGGAAGCAATTCTTACCAGCTGAATGTGCTTGGGGTCATCCAGCACCACTTTACAGCCTGTCAAAACTTCCATGATCACCTATAAGGAACACACACAAAGTCAACCACAGAGCCTGAGAACATGTACAGTATTAGTTTAAACTGTTTGACACAGCAATGGATTTCATTATAATTAATGTGCTTGTGTTTTATTACTTCACAGATTAGAGAAAACTCATGTATTGGATAGTAACAGAAAATCAATAGGTATTAAAGTTAAAACTCTTAAGATGTTTCCTCCAAGCTGGTGGTTCTCCACCTTCCTAATGCTGCAACCCTTTAATATAGTTCCTGATGTCAACCTGCCCCCACCAGCCATAAAATTATTTTGTTGCTACTTCATGACTGTAACTTTGCTACTGTTATGAAGCATAACATAAATATCTGATACTCAGGATATCTGATGTGTAACCCTGTGAAAGGGTCATTTGACTCCAGAGGGGTCATGACCCACAGGTTGAGAACCACTGCTCTGAGGATTTGGCATTTAGCACTATCTTGGCAGTGGATTCTCTTACTTAGCTAACCAGTGGGTGACACTCACAATTCCAAAGCTGTAGACATCAGTTTTAACAGAAAGTCTTCCCTGTCTGATGAATTCTTCTGGCAAGTACCACAGATGTTTCCTGCCGCTGCCGGTCATATTTATGGTAGCACTCTGATGTTCTAGGTGGGATCGGAAGTGTGCCATGGCAAAATCAGTTAGTTTGGGCTGGAACTCATCATCCAGAAGTATGTTTGCACTAGAAGTAAGAGCAAAGACAAACAGGACAAGAGATCACAGAGGCATTTAGTGAAATAAAATGTGACCGGTTAATTCAGAACACTGATAAGATAAAGGCAAACATAAACATCCATGAATGAGTGAGCATTCTAAAGTTTTTCTTAAAGTATAAACATGGGCTGGAGAGATGGCTCAGCAGTTAAGAGCATTGGCTTCTCTTCCAGAGGAACGGGGTTCAATTCCCAGCACCCACATGGTGGCTCACAACTCCAATTGTCTGTGACGCTAGTTCTAGGGGACCAAACACCCTCACACAGACATACATGCAAGCAAAACACTAATGCACATAAAATAAAATAAAACTTAAAGTATAAACATGAATTTGTATGAAGTCTTAGATAAAAGCTGAACCATGAACAGTGGCTATTTCAGATTTCGAGACATGCATGGATGCTGGTTCAACCAGACAAACTAAAGTTAAGCACAGCAGCTTGCTTGTGCTCTTCTGAATGAGACCATGAGCTTGGTTTTAAACAGCTAATAATGGAATTGTTGCATGCAGAGAGATATGTTATGGAATGCTGGGCTTACTAGAGACGCTACTCTAGAATACCTTGAGGCATCTTTGGTGGCCCCTACTTTAATAGTAGTCCCTCCTCACAGTCCTATCTCTCTAGGTTTCATTCTGGTTTTGAGACTCATCTGCAGAAGCAAAAGCAGAGTGCATTGAGTCCATTTGGGGAGTTGTTACATTAAAAGCAATCATTTCACATTTTGCAAGAATAAAAGTGTTGGTTTATTTTATGCTTCAAAAGCCTGCCATGGGAACAACAGGAAAAGAGAAGCCAAAAGGGACATGCATTTCACACTGCAAGGTCCCTTTCTCTGATTCTGAGACCCTCAGTTCTGTCTTCTTGCATTTGAGGCAAGGAAAAAGAGCAACAGAACTGGTAACACTGCAACACTGTTCTGGGAATAGGAAATCCATTGGCTGCCTGGTACGGTCTGACACATGGTAGCAAGAATGGAGACTGGTAACCAGTCAAAAGACAGCAGCGGATGCTACTAGGGTGGGGTGCTGCTAGAGTGGTTGCTGGCCATGAGCAAGTGACCTTTCATTTCAGTTTTGCTTAGGGCTCTTGAGAGCTTGTTTGTGTTCTGAAGCTGAAACGTTTCTACTTAACTTGTTCACCCAAATGTCAAGGTATAGAGGTTATGGTACTTTGCACTGTTACTAAATGTGGTAGCGGCCACTGGGTAAGATGCTCTTAAGCCTGAACAAACACCGAATCTTACAAATGTCCCAAAGTCTCTGCTGTCCCTGAACGAGTACACAAAGAGGCAGGGCTACTTCTGAATTGAGAGCCTCCAGAGAAAGAGATGGCTCAGAGGCCATGTTGAAATTCGTTCCTATGTCAAGTATTGGTTCCATGTTCATAACTAAGTTCTCAGTCCAGACTTTGCCTAGGGTCAAGTTGACAACAGATAAAACAAACAGATGCCCCAGGGTCCTTTAAGGTTAAAAACATGTTTTAAACATTGACTTTTCCCTCCACAGAGTGGAAAAAAAACTGGAAAGCGCAAAGAGCCAACCTTATGTCCTGTCTCTTTGCTGTGGTCTTTCCATCTATGGGGGAAGAAGCCAGGAGATGTATCCCTAAGATTTGTGTCAATGAGCATAGTCCTTAACTTTCTCCCTGTCTGTCTTTTCTCAAGTATCCAGCAGCTGCCAGAGCCAGCCTCTGTCTCACGTGGCCCAACTCTGTGCCATTCGTTACCCATTCTTTCATTTTCTCACTCAGAGAACAGGGTAGAGAGAGCATCCTGCCATTTCTCTGAAGAAGTGCAGCAGATGAGAGTCAGATTCTACTTTCTCTCCAGCGCTGGGTAGGAAATCACAACACGATTAAATTTCCCACAGGTGCACACTTCACTTGCTCAAATCTGAGACTTCTGGACCCGCTCTGATGCTTCTAGAATTTGGGGGAATATGAATGCAGGAGTTTTCCAGCTGGGCAGGAGATGAAAGGGGACAAAAACAACCTCCAACTCTCGTGGCAGCACTCATGTGAGGCAGGAAAGGGCAGAGAGTGAAGTCTGGAAGACCTTGGATAAAGGCTGCAGACTTCAAATATAAAAGAAACCAACAGGAAGAGGGAAGAGTAGAAATCTTCTACCCTCTGTCAAGTAAATCCCTGACACAGGCCCATTCACAGAGACACTCCAGTGTGTCTGAGGGTGACCTATGGCCTATTAAAATATTAAAACACCCACTCCTGGGTAGAGATTTAAGATGCCGAAGGGACATGTGATGCATGAAGATGTATGTTGAATTACATGTAGCATAGTATTCCCAAGAAAACCCACTGCATGGAAATAAGCTAAGAAGCCCATTCCACAAGACATAAAACCCCTACTCTGCATGACAGTCGTTGGAGACACTAACCTTTCCCCCTGCCCCAGCCTGCTTCCTCTCTTGGAAATGTCTTCTTTGCATACACTGCCTACATTGCTGTCCACGAGTCTTTGTCTAGTTTCGTGTTCCCAGACATAAGGTGGTGGAACCCCTCCAGAAGTGCCCAGCAAACCCTCATATGCACTGTCATCATGAGTTCCTGCCCTTCCTGTTTCTGCTACTCTGGGAGCCGCTTCTGCATGCCCTCGCCTAGGGGAAGAAAAACTGAATACCACATTTTCAACGTCTCCCCCCACCCCAGTTCTCCAGAAAACTTGATATCCTGATTAATATGTTAGGCCTTAAGAATGCCAAAGCTGAAGCTGAATCTAAACGGCACCTATTTCATATATATGTGTGTGTGTGTGTGTGTGTGTGTGTGTGTGTGTGTGTGTGTGTGTGTATGCATATGTATATCTATAAATACATAAAATGGTATCAGACTGGGGAGGGGTGTCAGCAAGAATAATAAAGAAATCCATAATCAATGGGTGGTGGTGGTACGAGCCTTTAATTCCAGCACTCATGAGGCAGAGGCAGGTGGATCTCTGTGAGTTCAAGGCCAGCCTGGTCTACAGCATGAGTTCCAGAACAGCCTCCAAAGCTACACACAGAAACCCTGTTACGAAAAACCAAAATGAAATCTATAATCTAAACCATTTACTTGACCTGCTGCAAGACAAGTAGAAGCCAACAGCAAATGGTGAGTCACATGTCTTCCAGAGGTAGGCAGAGATGAGCTGGGTGACCACAAACCCTGTTACCCAATAAACCCACCGAGGACATGGGGTCACTGAGAGGTCAGCAGTCAGACAGGATTATTTGAGGATGCTGCACTTACACATTGAATAATGACATCTGGTGAAAAGGCAAGTTCTTACCAGCAGACCTTAGTGTAGAGCATAAATTCTGAAACGAGTGATTTATTTAGTTCTAAATAAAGGTTAAGAGAGCTGAGAGAGAGAAATGTTCGGTTTTAGCAAAGTGGGGATTGCAAAAAGCCCTTCGACAATCAATTTCTCCTCTAATTCTTTCCCCTGCTTCAGCCTTAAATGGACTCTTTAAACATAAAGTGCCTTCAGCTACCATGCAGGTCAACAGAGTAAGTTTATTCTGTGGTGTGAAATGGACTGACAAAATGAAGACTACATGAGAGAGCTGAAATTATAGTGAGACAATGAAAAAGGGCAGCCGGCTGATAATTATGGCAGCTAAAGAGGCAGACAGTGAAGCAGGTTTGGTCCTCATGCCCTAGCTCATGTTTCTACTAACCTTTCCCTGCTCTTTACGGGTATTTGCTATAACAGAGAGGCCAGCGTGACTTTAAATAGTTCTTTAAATAAATTGCCCCACATCCCCTGACTGAGGATGTGGGGCAATTCTATACAGGTGGCAAATTTGTACTAACTTGGGAGTAATGACTTACTATCTGTACTAAGACAAGTTTCCATGAAGCTGTTTTTGAGGGACTGGATTCCCCAAGCAACACTACTTTATAGTGAGAACAACTTTCTGGGCTCATCAATAAGTTTCCTAGTTTAGTTGAAGTGGTTAGACCTTAAAAATGAAGATGATGTATAGAGATTAAAACTGAAGATGATTTATAGAGATTAAAAGGAAGATTATGTATAGAGATTAAAAGGATTATATAGATTAAAATGGAGATCATGTATAGAGATTAAGATGGAAGATGATGTATAGAGTTTAAAACAGAAGATGATGCATAGAGATTAAAACAGAAGATGATTTATAGAGATTAAGGCACAGGATTTGGATTTAAATAAGAGGGTCATGTGTGACACAGTCGAAGAGAATTTATCTTTAACAACATTATGCATATTTAAAGGGGCTCATTTTAGCTTTAGGCAAGTGCCTGTCCATCCTCAAGAAAGGTGGGGATTCCACTCAGTTGGTCTCAGACATAAAGAAGATCCAACAACTTCTCAAAGACGTCCTAAGGCCAAAGAGTTAGTTAACTAAGAAATTGCCCACATTCTGGAAACAGGTTCTTCAACAACTTAGTGCCTACAACCCCTAAACGTCTTCACCATTGTGTATTTTCCCTATGTGCATGCTCCATACCCTATAAAGCCCTCTACCACAGCCGAGTCACTCTCATTTCTCCATCCCCATTCAGAGGCAGCCATCTTGTACACACACATACCTCCCCAATAGATCTCTTGTGTGAGGTCTGTTACGTGGTGTGTGTTTTTTGTGGCGTTCCCTGGCCCTATTGCAACTTTTACCACAAAACCCTTTCACAAAGGACATGTACTGTCCATGGCATGGCAGTTATAACCCCAAGACCCACTCCCCAGATAGCCTGCCTTCCCTCAGATGTAGAAAAATCCAGTTTTCCCAGACTCACTGGCTTCGGGGAGAGTTGTAGACTCTCATACAACTTCGCACACAAGAGCACATATGGTTTCCAAACAAAGAATGGTACAAGCCTCAAACTGTGTTTCCCTGATCGGGATGGGCCTGTTGGTTGACAGGTTCCAGAACTGAGGCAAGGAGCAGGCAGGCGAGGGGAGGAGTGAGCCAAGAAGTAGCCATCTTGTAGC